GGTGTGAATAACCATGCAAACTTACATGGTGCCCTCACATGTTACGGTCACCTATTCGATGTGCCGGTAAACCACACACGCTCCACCGAACTATGACAAACATTGAATCACCCTTTGCTACCTTTGCTTAGAACAATTTAGTGTGTCAGTAAACCACACACGCTCCACTAACGTCTCCGCAAGGGAACAAAGTGTAATTTCATGGAATTGCATTAATTCACTTTTGCCTAAGGTAACTAAGATTGGGAATTTATAAAAACATTTAGTTACTTTTGTACTTCATTATACTTATAATGGAAAGTTTTGTCCTATCCTACCCGTTCGGCTAACGACCCTCCACTAGTCAAGAGTGTGGTGGGTAAGAGTCGATACCTATTCAATCGCCATTTTATAGGCAATTTCCTTAAACACCCCTTATAGACCAACTTCGTGAATGAGGCTTACTAACGGTAAGATTGACTTTTACTCATACATATATATAATGTTAGACTTTTAATGCTATATATAGTATAGGGTGTATTTTACACTTTTAAAATACTAGGTGGTCAAATTTAATAATTATACTTTTAATTTAATTAAATTGTAAACAAAAACTTTATGGATTTATTAAATCTCATTTAATTATACACTTTAATTAATTAATAAAACCATAAGGGTGTGATTTGAACTTTTCAAAACAATACTAGGGTTTAAGAATTTAACATTTCTAAATTAACCTTTTAATCAACTTTTAAATTCCAAAACTTGAGGGCAAGTTTTGAAACATTTCAAAACATTAGGGTTTCAACTATTCAAATTCCAAAACTAAACTTTTGAGTTCAAATTTAAACTATAAAACCTAAAGGGGAAAATTGAAACTTTTCATAACACGAGGATCAAATAACAAATAATTTAAATTAAACAATTAATTTCATCATTATCTATATTTGTCCTAATTTCAATTTCTTGCAAAATAAGTTACCCAATTAATACAAATAATCCAATCTTTATCATATAAGGAAGTTATTATCTAATCAATTGGTAATTATCTTTTGTTTAATCAAGGATATACTAAAAAATATGAATAAAATTGGATTTTAATGATCTAAAACAGATAAGGCAAGTATCCATGAGTAAAACAGCAAGAAATCCCGAAATCCCCTCTTTCTGACGCTCGAACTCGCCGAGTACCCCTATGGACTCGCCGAGTAGGGGCCTACTCGCCGAGTCCACAATGGGACTCACCGAGTTCATCAGGAAGGTTGGCCAAAAATCGAATTTGCAATTTGAACAAACACATAATGCATCAATACAATAAAAACCAATCAAGGCTCTGATACCATTGATGGGTTTTGGCCACAAGAACATCTTATGTGCTCATACAAACCCTAATGCTTGGATCTACGTTTCTCTATTGTACATGCAATTCATCCAAGACTATAAACCCTAATTCTATCATATGATAATCCATATTAACATAATAATGGGTTTAAGATATTACCTTGATTGTTATGTAGCAATAACAATCAGAATTCCTTCTTGTAATGACTTTAGAAAGCTTAGAGTCACAAACGTCACTCCTCTAATGGTTCACAAACACCAAGAGCAAGAGGATGAAGAAGAGAAGGAGGCTGCCCAAAATCGTCCAAAACCCTAGAGAACAAGTTCACCACGTTTTTGGGGCTTAAGGGTGATAATTATATATGTTTGCTATTAGCGTTTTAAACTAGGAAACCCTAATCTGACTGCTTAAGCCCTAAGCAGCCCATGGATTCCATTCTTAAAGGCCTTGGATGATTTCTAATGGGTTTCCCCATAGAATTTGTCCAACCCTCTACATCGAAACTTTTTTATTATGATCATGTAACTGTCGAAGATTGTCAGACAGACAGTGACAATGAAGAAGATGTGTTAAATGTGAAAATTGTTCCAATTGTTTCAAAAGAAACCACTATTCCACGAATTGTTAAAGAGCTAGTGTATAAAGAGACACATAAATTTGACAAAATCATGAAAGAAAAAGGTTCTCACTATCTTGAACATAATTTTTTGTGGTTTATCTAAACTTCAAATGCACGGATGATGTCATTTTTCCAAATCAAGTTTTCATTACAAATGGTAATGTAGAAAGTGTGAAACAAGAAATAACGAAACTGGTTGAAGAGGATAATAAGAAAGCTTCTAAGGAATGCTTCTTTTCAATCAAAGGACAATTGAAAATAACCTTACCAAAAATTCATACACTTTTCAACGTTAAAAGCCAAGTCGAACTTGGACGGTTAAAGCTGAAATGTCAAAAGTTGAAAAACAAACAAACACCAAAGTTTCAGAAAAATCATTTTAAAAAGGTCAATTTTAAAAAGAAAATGTTCAAAAGATTGTAAAAGAAAATGGAATTTCAATGAACAAGGCATGAAACAAAGCTTATTTGAAGAATTATGTGTCCAAAAAGAAACAACAAAATCTTTCCACTAAAACATCTTAAACCAAAAAAGTTTGCAAACAAAAAGTCTGAATCTGTTAAGACAAAAACTCAAAGTACCTCTTTTGCTGAAAAGAAACAAGTCTTCAAAACAACACAATTACATAATGAGTTTTCTAAAAACAAGGAACCGATTTCAAACTCACATCACAAATCTAATGTTCAAACTTCTTATCATGAAAGTTATGTGAACAATTAACAAACAAAGAGTTTTGGTAATAATTTTCAAAATCAAAGGTTTTCACAAAATAATTTTCAAAGAAGAGATTTTAAATCAAATGAACAAAAGTCTTATCATTGAGTTCCTCATCAACATAAATCTTCGAATGTTCAAAAAGTTTTTCCAAGAAATAATGTTGGCAATCAAAACAAGTTTCGAAATCGATATACTCCTTTAGTTTCAACGAAAAAGCCAACACGACATTATGAGACACTAAAAGTTCATGGAAAAAGAAACAAACCTGTCAATCCTGATCCAACTTCTTTTCCAAATCCATCCTCAAAACAAACAGTAAAGGCTTCATTCGTTAAAGGAAAAAAAATGTGAAAAACTTTAATCATTAGTTGGAAAGAAATGGATGAAACTTTCAGTTTGGGAAATTCTCTCAAGAACAGATTAAGGATGCATATGAGAACTATCTAAATGAATGATCAAATGGTAGTTTATCTTCGAAAGATTCAACTCCATTTGTTCAAAAGTGGAGATCATTTTTGACAAAAAAGTAATTGAGAAAGAAACCAAGACGTATGAGGCGAAGGTTAAAGTTGATTTTAAACCTTCGAATGATTACATATTTATATTCTTACATAATGAAGTGGACTTAATTGATAGTGTCAACTCTAAAGTTTGTAACTAGATAATAGGGTTATCATTACATGAAGCATTTTGTTCTAATAACGAAGGACCCAAACAACCTTGGGGTCCTAAATTCTTTAATTGATTGCAGGTTTTGCGTGACGAGCAATATAACGACAAATGGTATATCGATAGTGGTTGCTCTCGTTACATGACTGGGAAGAAGGAAAATCTGCAAGATTATAGAAGTTTAGAAAATGCTGGTGTGGTGAAATTCGGAAACAACAACAAATGAAAAGTCAAAGGTTATGGAAAGGTTACCAATGCGAAGTTCACAGTCAAAAGAGTTGCCTATGTCGAAGGTCTACAATACAATTTGATCAATGTTTCGCAACTTGTTGTGGGCACTGGTAATCAAGCTGTCTTTAACGAAGGAGGAAGTGTAATATCGAACATTGACACAAAAGAAGTGCTTCTTAAGTCAAAGCGGCATGGCGATATGTTTAAACTTGACATCCAACCCATTGTTGGTGTTCCTTCTGTGTGTTTACTTTTAATGGGATCATTTGATATCAGTTGGTTGTGGCATTGAAAATTATCTCACCTGAACTTTAAAAATCTTAACAAATTGGTGGTAAAAAATCTAGTTCGAGGCTTACATGTACCTAAATTTTATAATGATTCTTTGTGTGAAGCTTGCGGACAAAGGAAACAACATCGACAAGGTCATCCGATTGTGATAGATTCGAAGATCATTGAACCTCTTGAACTTCTTCATATTGACTTATGTGGACCTTCAACGATTGAGACTCTTAACCAGAAAAGGTATATTTTGGTTATAGTTGATAATTTTTCTAGGTTTACTTAGGTATATTTTCTTCGTTTGAAGTCAGATACAACTCAAGCAATCATCGATTTCATCAAACACATCGAATTAAGTTTAAAGAAAAATGTTCGCAAAATCAAGAGTGATAATGGAGTTGAATTCAAAAACAAAGTTTTATATACATTTTTGGTTGATAAAGGAATTTTGCACAAATTTTAGTCACCTTACACACCTCAACAGAACGGTGTTGTCGAAAGGAGAAATCGTTCACTTTGCGAAGTTGTAAGAATGATGCAGACTTATATGAATCTTCCACAATATCTCTGGGCTGAAGCTGTTTCTACTGCTTGTTTCACTCAAAATCGATCTTTTATTCATAGAAGACTTGATATCACTCCTTATGAAATCATTAATAATAGGAAACCAAATGTTAAATTTTTCCATGTTTTTGGTTGCAGGTGCTTCATTATGAATCTTAAGGATACTCTTTCGAAATTTCAGTCCAATGTTGATGAAGGAATATTCTTAGGTTATTCTTTTAATTATGTGGCATACAGGGTGCTTAGTAAGCGAAGAAGGAAAATTGAAGAAACGTTCAATCTCACCTTCGATGATCATTATGTCAAAAGAGTCGAAAAATGCTTTGAATAACAACCAATCATTAATGAAACAAATGACGAGTATGAAAGTGTTAAAACGTTATATTTTGATTATGATTTAATTTTTGGTACACCTGACAGGGCTATTGTTGTTGAAGTTCATGCTAAGGATAATCAAATACCTGAGGCAACGAAACATTCTGATGAATCGATGGTCATCCAACAAATAACATATGAAAACTCAACAACAATTTCTCCCATACATGTCGAAGGTGAATCAGTTCAACCCAATGATCGAGTGGAGGGGAGCACTTGAGAATGCCTAATACTGTTGAAGTGGAGCAAACCTTCAAAAATGTGCAACATTCAGAAAATGCATATGTTGGGCAGGAGCATCATTCAAATGATCCAAGTGTTGAGGGGGAGCAAAATGCATCTTTGCCTAATATTAATGATGTTTTTCATGATGTTGTTGTCAACATTTTGAATGTAGGAGAAACATTGGAGACTGACGAAGAATTCGAAGATACACCATTGGATTTTGATCCAACATATCCTCTAATGGATAAATGGATGAGAAGTCATCCACATGAACAAATTCTTGGTGATTCATTAGCTGGTGTATTGACTAGAGCTCAAATTCGTGCAAAGAATGAGGTACTCAATACTCACTGGGAATTTTGCATGTTCAATGTTTTTATCTCAAAAATAGAACCTAAAAAAGTAAAGATTGTTATGGATGATCTTTTGGATTAGTGTTTAAGTCCATAACTATATTTGGTATGTACTTGACCCGGTTGTAGCATGGTCCTTTTGGGTTGCCTTCACACCAGTGACTAGACAAGATGATTGTTGAGGAGAGAGGCTGATTTATTGTTAAGAATAATAAATTGGGGTATAAATATGACTTGTTAATGTATTATATGAATAATATATTATTTTGGAATCATATTATTAATTAGTATTTAATCAAAAATTAATTAGGAATTAATTTTGGGATTAAACACTACTAGAAAAACAGCCTTTTACGACGCGCAATCAATGACACGCGCTAATAGAGGACACGCATTTGTGAGTGCCCTAAAAATTGATGTCAGATTTCCAAAATATGAAGCATAGTGGACACGCATTTTTGCGTGCCAAAAATTAGTGTCTAATGAAAAAAACACGGAGGGCACCTTAAATAAAACGTGCGTCGTCTAGCTATGTCGCTTTATAAATATTAATGAAACACGCGTTTCATCCAAGGGGGAAATGAAATCCAAAATTTAAAAAGCCCGCTTTGTTTCCACCGGCTGAAAACCCTAACTCATTCCCACTGAAAACCCCCTTTCTTTCTTTCTTCTCTCTCGATTCTCAAACCTCCACTGCTTCACTTCCCACATGTTCGCATCTTCGTCGCTTATTCATACAGAATTCAACAATTTCTATGGTTTCGATTATTGGGTGAGGTACAGGGAGGTGTAATCGTTTTGGACTCTTTACTAATTGACTTGAATTGAACCCTAAAAACTCAATTCACACTTCAAACTTCTCTGATCCTCTCTTCTTCCACTCCCCAATCTCTGATTCCACTCCAATCGAGTTCTACGAAGGCTTTGATTGGTGGTCATCAATTTGCACCATCACCTCCTTGTTCGTTCCTAAAATAAAGACCTTAGAACAGTATCCACTACCCAATCTCTAATTCCACTCTAATCGGTTTGTCTCTTAAAAATCAAATAATTCATTAAGGTGTACTTGGCCTTGCTATGTATATCCTTTTTTCTGAAGAGAATGGATCGGTTGTGCTTCAGCAAGGAGTACGTCGCCTCATAAATTTAATACGTACTGTTCTTGGTCCTATATGTGTTGAATTCTCGATTTCTTTTTTAATCTGGTTTCCTTTCACGTGAAACTTCCAATTTGCATCTATAATCAAATAAAGCTTCAATTAGAGATATTATTCGCTAGTTACTAATCAGATCTGATCCATATGATTGCTAATGGTCATAGCATGGGCGGATTATGTATAGGGCCAGTAGGGGCTTTGGCCCCCTGATATTTGGGTTAGAAATAGCAAATATATCTTCAAAATTTTTAATTATAGGTCTGTTAGTGTAGAAATTGGGTTGTGCCCCTCCCGATTTCAGTCTGATTTCCAAACCTAGCGACAAGAAGTCAAAATCAATTTGTATCTTACGTCGTTACCTAGTTCCTCCCCCATCATCACTAGTTGTTACCTCCTTACCTTGCTCAGTCGCTGCTCGTTGGTCTCGCTATTCACCACCACAACAGCTGTCACCGGAAATCAGGTATGTTCTTCTCCTGTTCTCCCATTCTCTCAATCTCTTGGATTCAGCTCTTCTTGAAATTGGAATATTAGAATTAGAAATTAGAATTTACAAATCTGAAATTTTCATAAAGCTCCTGTTGTGGCAAATCTGAAAATTTCATAAAGCTTCTTGAAATTGGTCTCGCCATTCACTACCCTTCTATCACTTGAACTTGTTGTTGCATCTGGCGTTCCATGTTGCAGGTGTGTTATATCTTTGTTCAAAATTGAATTTCACATTCTAAACTTCCTTTAGAAAATCTCATACGGGATGTTCTTAATAGAAGATGTGCTCCTTATGATTTCATTGGCCTTCCACACAAGGTCAGTTTAGGACATAAATTATGCTATTATTTTCCCTTTGATAGTGTTTATAAGGTCAGTTTAGGACATAAATTATGCTATTATTGAAACAGTTGATCTTTGCCTTAATTAATTCCATAAAATTTGTAATTAATAGATATCTCAATTCATAGATGCAGCATTATAAACTCAGGTGGGGACAATGGCTGGAGGAGCTGCAGATTGTCAGTTTTGGTACATAAATTTAGGCATTAAGGTATTAAAATCACCTTTTTACATATCACAACGTTCTACTTTGAAATATTCTATGCAATATTTGTATTTTTTTTTTAATTTCAGTGTCGGTTGCATGAATTGGCAAACAAGAGTAGGATTTCAATGACTGGCGCTTCAAAGATGCTTGCCAACATTCTCTATTCGTACCGTGGTATGGGTTTGTTTGTTGGGACAATGATTGTAGGATGAGATGAAAAGGTCTATATAATACAATACCCTTTATATGCATATCATGAAAATATTAAAAATAAAGGGCAAAACAGTCATTTTACGTATGCGTTACTTTTTTTGTAGGGCTCTGGTCTGAACTATGTAGACAGCGAAGGCAGACGTCTCAAGGGAACTAAATTCTATGTGGGATCTGTTTCACTGTACTTTTTTTTTGTAGGGCTCTATTCAATCTAAAAGAAGCCTTCTGCTTGAACTGCAACAAAGATCCACAAAATTTGATTCTATAATTTAAAAGCATCATAATATAAGGTATGGAACTGTGGATAGTAATTTTGATAATTTTTAATACAAAAGACTGAAGTGAAGTAATTAGTAATGGTATGTGAAGGTTTGCACTGGTTGAAAGGATGGCAGTTCTTGATGAAGCAAATTTCAGTAGATGGAGGAACGGTTCTACTTCTATTCCTTCAACTTCAATGGGAAGTAGTGTTCCTAATGGAGTTATTAAAACAACTGCTGCTCCTTTAGTAGACTTGCTTGATTTAGGAGGAGGAGAAGAACCTCCTCCACCAAATACAAATAGCATGATGACAGGTGACAACTTTCTTCAAGATCTTCTTGATGTTGGAATGTCCCCATCTTCATCACAACCAAGTTAGCTTTAGATTCAAATCATATCAGTTTGTTTCTCTTGTTGAAAATTGAAATCGTATTCTTGTGTGTGTGTGTGTGTATATATATTTCATAAGTAACATATGGCATTTTTACTTTTTTTTTTGTTTCAAATTCAGTTACAAATGCAAACCAGGCTAAAATAAAGTGGCATAGATGTTCTGCTTGATCTAGCTATTAGGCTTTCTACAACTGTAGTTGTTACTATCTTTGATTAATCAAATAGAAGACAAGGTATCGTAGCATTCTCTTAATTTTGATTGCTTTTTGTCTCATGATTATGCTTTACATTATTAACTTTAAAGTTTTTGGAAGTTTAGTTTAATTATCTTGAAGATAAAATCATGAAGTATTCAAAAGCCATTGTTGCATCTCAACTTTATGAGGAACCTGTTGATCCATCGGTTGCTTCCCAAGTAATTCCTATCTCTATTTTATTAGAATTATTCTTTTCTTTTTTATCATCTTTGAAGAGATTCAACAACACAAATTACATCTCTTGATTCCCTATCAGAAAAGTATATTTGTTGTTGGCATGATTTGCTGTGAAGAAGAAGGGCGTTTAAAGGAAAAACCAATCATTCTTCAAAGTAGGTCATATTTGTTGAATCTTTATGCTCTTTTCAGACATATTTTTCCTTACTGTTGTCCTTTGTTACTTGTTTGAAGAGAGTTGAGCATTCTGGAGGTCAACGTGTGTGCCTTGACTTACAGAAACTGGACCAGTTTTCCTTTTTCCCAGGCCAGGTAGATAGTTAAAAAATGGAAACTAATCAAAAAAACATTTAACATAAACATAATTCGATAGGTGGCAGGCATTGAAGGACATAATCCAAGTGGGCACTATTTAATTGCAACAAAGATTGTTGATTATGTACCGTTATCAGTCCCTAATGATGAAAATATTCCTCAAAAGAAGAGACAAGCTATGGATGAAAATAACAAGCCTGGTGATTTATCTGATATAACATCATATCTATCATTGGTGTGTAAAGCTTGTTCTTCAATTTACTAAAGTACTCCGTTAAGTTTACTATCTGGTTTCTCTCTGATTCTATCCATGTCATCTTTGAGCAGATTATTGCTTCAGGCCCTTACATCGTCTATACAAAGGGACCAAAAGTGTAAATTACTCAAAGTATAGGATGACTAAAAAGTTTTACAACTGTATCTTTTGATTGTACGGCCTGCTTTTGATATGAATATAGCTGATCAAGATTGACAGATAACCTGCATTAAAAATCCATGAATGATCTCAGCAAATAAGGTAATTGTTGTTATTTGGATGATATTTAAAAATGTAAGTTGAGAAATTTTAATAATTGAGTGAAAAAAATATTGGTGAAAGTAGGATGTTGTAGTGTGGATGTCCTGAAACAACTTAGTATGGATGTAGTGTCACTTGGGATCAAGAATCGCATGGATAAACTAACAAACCATCTGCTGAGTCGACACAGACATGTTTTCAAAATTCGAATGATATTTTTCTTTTTTCTTTTTTCTTAATTTAATATGTTTACGTTTGTGACAACAGCTTTTATCCTCTGTACCCACCCGTGGAAGACACTCCTGTGGACTTGTCACTTGCTCCAGAAGCCCCTTCAAAATCGTCGATGGTCCCGCTAGCTCCGCTGTCAGAAATCCAGGTATTTCTCACTTCATATTGATACTGAAGTGAATTTACAACCCCTGTAAAAGCAAAAGTATTTATGCTATGATGACAATTGATCAAAGTCTTTTTAATGATGGATTGATAATAATCTTTCTAATTCAGTCACTGCTGCATTGGATACACAAGAATTTAAGTGTTTTTCTAGCTATGTTAACTGATTACGTTGTGTGTAGATGTTAATTAGGTTTTATGATCGAATTTTGCATTTTGAGTTTTAAAGTTAACTGCTTACGATAAATACCTTGTGAAACTGCTGTAAAAATGAACCAGTACTAAAAAAACTGGAGATTTGTTTTTTATAATCCAAAATCACATAAAAGAATTGCAAAACACATCTGATCACCAGCACAGATTGAGTGTAAAGATGAAGGATTATGACTTTAGTTGTGCTTGTTCTAATTCTTTCATATGAAATTGCAAAACTTTTCCCATCCCTATTTGGGCAACCATCAACAATATTGGTGCCAGGTGAATCTAATGAATCAGGATCTGCCTTGAAGATAGGAGTTGTGTTGTCAGGAGGACAAGCACCAGGAGGGCATAATGTTATATATCTGGGATTTTTGGTTAGGATTTTGAACTTCCATTTCCTATTGTTCATATTTTTCATACTTCATATGATAGATTGAAGGATTGACTAGTAAACATCAGCAATATTGGTTCCAGATGAATCTAATTAGTAAAGAAAGTTGAAGGATTGACTAGTAAACATAAAAGTAGAATGAAAATGACAAGTGATTTTGTGTTGTGTTTACAGGGTTGATGAAAGCGAATAGCTCTCGAGTTAGAAGTGGAAAAGAAAGCTCAAGCCGAAAGAGATAAGATGCTGAAAATGCAAGTGTTGTATTCTTCATTTCAATTGTTAGTATGAAACATAGAATAGATTAGATGAATGTAAATTTATATATTGTAGGAAATAGAATTGTATGACATTAAAGTTTATTCAATGGATTGTATTTTTTTGTATATGGTATTTTATTTATATTATGACACATTAAATGCAAATTTAATTTAAAAATTAATAAATATATAAATATATATTTTTTTAAATATTTAAATTTACAATACGCAAAAATGTGTGTCATCTTCATTTATGACATGGCCTTTCTTGACAGGGGCTTTCTTGATAAGCATTGCGTGTCATTAACACGCGCGTCGTAAGGTTACGACACGCGAATGCGTGTCGTCTTCCTTTATGACAGGGCCTTCCTTGATACGCATTGCGTGTCGTAAACGCGCGTCGTAAATGCGCGTCGTCTCTCTTTATGACAGGGCCTTCCTTGACGCGCATTTGCGCATCGTCTGAGCCTTTTACAACACGCAATGAGCGTCGTAAAAGGCTGTTTTTCTAGTAGTGAAAGGAATTAATTAAAAGTGTAGGGGCTATTTTGTAATTATTTGACAGTTGATACTTTGGGCCATTGAATCACCTTTATTAAGGCTTGGCCGAAAATCCTAGAGGGATCTAGGAGTTTTCGTACAAGGGATTAAGGAAAGGAGTCCATGTGTTTGCTTAGGCCCTAAGCTAAGGGATTAGGGTTTCCCCCTTGAAACCCTAGTTGACTTCAACTATAAATAACACCCTAAGGCACTAAAAATAGGCACCCCTTGTAGAAACCCTAGTAGATCCGGTTTTGTGAGCTTGTTACCCTCCATTGACTCTCTCATATCCATCCTCTCACTCAAGTGTGTTTGTGAGCCATTAGAGGTACTACACTTGTGGTACTTGCTTTCAAAGTTAAGGAGATTCAAGAAACAAGTTGTTATTAATACATAACAACAAAAGGTATGTGTTCTATTCTTTATATGTGAATTTCGAAAATTATAGAATCATTTTAGGTTTCTTTTTGTGTTTATAAAGCTGTAGGTCTAATAGTGAAAACATAGATCCAATTAGAGTTGCATGCACACATAGGATTGTTTGTGTAAAACCCATTAGTGGTATCAGATCTTTTGGTTTTGTTTTCAATTAGATTTGATACAAGAGTATGAATATGACAAATTAGGGTTTGTGGCAAATAAACCCTAAGGTCTTGATTTTCGAATATAGGGTTCCTAAACCCTAGTTTTCAAAATTTTGTTAGGGTTTCCCAAACCCTTTCCTTCGCCCCTAAGATTTCGAATTTAGGGTTATCTAACCCTAGGGTTTTCGAAATCGCCTCCTCCCAAGATAAGATTCCTAAATTTTAGGGATTTAGATAATGCCATATCCTATAATTAAAGATTTTCTGAATTATCCCATCCTAAATTTTTGAATTTTGAGGGGATCTGGGATTATGTTCAATTAATTGTTTAATTTAATAGATAATCCTCCAAGATTTAATAATTCAAATTAATTGTTGAATTTTGGGATACTTATTAAATCAAAGTTTTAATACTTAAAATTTTAAAATTAAAAGGTTTTAGTTTTCGGAAATTTTAAATTTGATTAAAACCCTAGTATTTTGAAATGTTTAAAGTACACCCTTATACTATTATAATATTAAAAGATTAATAATTATATATATATATATATATATATATATATATATATATATATGTAAGATTAAGCTAGTCTTATCGTTAGTAGGCCTTATTCACGAAGTCGATCTATAAGGGGGTATATGGTTGTTGCCTATAAAATGGCAGTTTAATGGGTGTCCACTCTCACCCACCATTTCCTTGATTGGTGGAGGGTCGTTAGCCGAATGGGTAGGATAGGCAAACTAATTCCCCATTAAAAGTATAATGATTAACAAAGTAACTAAATGTTTTCATGAAATTCCCAATCTTAGTTACTTTAGGCAAAATGTGAATTTGATGTCATTCCAGGAAATTACACTTTGTACCCTTGTCGAGACGTTAGTGGAGCGTGTATGGTTAACCAGCACACTAATTTGGGTCTTAGAAAAGGTGGAAAATGGTGAATCAATGTTTTTCATAGATCAATGGAGCGTGTGTGGCTAACCGACACATTGATTAGGTGACTGTAACATTAAGGGCACCATCTACATTTGCATGGTTATTCACACCTTGTTTGTGATCCTTGGTATCCCAATCACAAACTTGAAGGGCATATCGAGATTTAAACATGACATTGAAAAATTTAATGAATCTCAAAAGATCTAGGAGTTTTCAATACATTTAAAACTTAATCATTTTCGTTTTTCATGGTGGAAATTAGTGAATCGTCATTCACTTACCTTGAAATTATTTGTTGTTTAGATTACGATATCCCTCTTCTAAATTGTAAATAATGTTGTTGGATCCTAGCCTTAATTTCTCATTTGGGTGATTAATTAGGGATTCTTATCTGATCAACTTGTCCTTTTTTCATTTTCAGATGTCGAATCAAACAACAATGAATCAGGCTCAAACACCTCCGGCTCATTCTCACTCATGAATTTGTGTAGGAGGGTGATCTTTGATGGAAACAATTTTAACGATTGGATCCGCAACATAAGGATGGTCACCCACTACGAGGAGAAGGAGTATGTCCTCGACAAGGAGCTGAAAGAGGTGGATGTGAACACTGCTACTCCCGAGGAGATTGCTGCCTTTGAGGCCTATGAGCGTGATGCCACGAAATTCCATTGCATCATGCTAGAGACCATGACTGATAAACTCCAAAAGTCCTACGAGGGCTTCTATCCCTATGAAATGCATCAGGATTGTCATGAAAGGTACCACCAAAGCGCAAGGCAGGAGAGGTACAAGATCATCACTTTGATGATCACGACCAAGATGAGAGACGGAGAGTATGTCACTGCTCATCTGCAGAAGATGCAAATATATGTTGACCGTCTGCTGAAGTTAAATGTTAACTTCGATGAAGAGTTGGCGATTGATATCATTCTTCATTGACTGCCACCCTGCTTCAACCAGTTTGGCATGACCTACCATATAAACAAAGAGGAGGTCACATTGAGTAAACTTCAAGGGTTGTTGAGGATTGCTGAGAGTAACCTCAAAGACAAACATGTTGAACAAACTCCTACTCCTACTGCTATCCTAGTCTTGGCTATTGGAGAGGGGAAGGGTAAGAAGGGGAAGGCTCCTTCAAAGAGCCACCACAAAGGAAAGTCCCATGATGACACCTCTTCTAGTGGTACTAAGGCTGGTCCCACTGCACCCACCTCCAACCCAAAGGATGTAGAGTGTTATCACTGCCATGATAAAGGGCATTGGAAACGAAGTTGCCCGAAGTATCTGACAGATATCAAGGATGTGAAGATTAACCCGTCCTTCGCAGGTATTTATACTATTCAATCTAATGATTCATCACATGCTATTTTTTGGGTTCTTGATATAGGGTGTGGTTTTCATATTTGTTCTGATTTGCATGGCTGAAGAAGAAATAGGGA